TGGAAGTGCCATACTTGCTTTGCCTAGAGAACACTTGTCTCTCTCACCTCCCAGCCTAGAGGCGAGGGGCTTGTCCCTTCCTTTGTCTGCCTAGCTAATGTTAATCTTTAAGTGAATCTCTACTCAAATGGCACTTCTTCCATAAGTGGTGCCTTGCTTTCAATTTTCAATGAATACTTTTATTTTATTTATTTATTTTTTTTTTTTGTGGAACCGGGGATTGAATTTAGGCCCTTGAGCTTGCCAGGCAAGCGCTTATTCTACTAAGCCATCTCCCCAGACCCTCAATGAATATTTTTAAAAAATGTTTTAATTTTATGTATTTTGTACAGGGTCTCATTACACAGCTTGGATTCATAGCGATTCCTCCTGTGTTAGCCTCCCCAGCACTGGGATTACTGGTGTGTGCCACCACACTAGGTCTTGGTGGCCGACTCGGCATGCAGTGCCAGGAACTGAACCCGGTTCCTTGCTTTCCTAGGCAGGCCCTTAGACTGCTGAGCTACATCCGCAGCCCCCTCAGTAAATACTTATTGACTACCACTGAGAAACAAGGTCTCCACAAGGTGCTGGGAACACCACAGTGAACAGAGGTCCTTGTACTTACATGGCTTAGCACTCAATCAGAGGGCGGAGAGCGTTAAACAACTAATTACATCATTAGCCAATTAACCACAAGTACAGTAAACGCAACAAAGGCGACGTTGGTGCCTCTGTTCCTCGCTGTAGCATTTAATACGCCTGTTTGTAATTAGCTGCTTGTCTTTGTTCCGCACTAGCGATGGAAAATATGGATATTAACTGCCTTGTAGCTTCATAGCTTGGTATCTACTCAATAAAAATTTTAACAATTATTTGTGGAATGAGTAGTTAAATAATCACATGGACTTAACCCAAATACTAACTTAGCCATCCGGGAGAATACTTTTAAGATTTTAATTCCCACATTGTATTTCTAAATGGCAATGATTCTAGTAACTTAACACTAGCCTGATACCCAACTACAAATACAAAAGAATTAACTCAGCCATATACATTATTTATAAACCATCCCTATCTGTAACATAAAAAGCCACGTATGTGCAGATACCATGTGGTACAGACCTGTCTTAACTCATACTGACACAGATGATAAACTAATTAAATGACCCTATACTCCTTATTCTGTCTCACTTAGGTATTTATGATGGAATATGTTAAGCATAAAAACTCATAAATTTAACTGCAAAATTAAAAATGGGCTTTTGTCTAAATAAATGGTAGTAATAGCTATTACAAATAACAAATACAAATACACCTGTAATCCCAGCACTGGGGAGGCTGAAAACAGGAGAATCACTACGAGTCCAATCTATATAGTGAGACTCTGTAGACCCTGTTCTAAATACAGAAAAAAAAAACAGTAATAAATACAAATATTTATAAATTTTGGGTTATGCTTTAAATAAAAATTTCTTAAATGTATAATTCAAAGCTTGTGACTCAAAGAATGATGATGGGCCTGGTGTGGAGGTGTACACCTGTAATCCCAGCACTGGGGAGGCTGAGACAGGAGGATCACTGCAAGTCTGAGCTGCATAGCAAGACCCTGTACCAAATAAATAAACAAAAGGTTTTTTAAAATACCCTAGAGATTCCATTTGACCCGCCTATTCCGCTTCTTGGTATCCTCCCAACAGAATTAAAAGCATCATGTCATGTGATACACACACACACCCATGTTTATAGTGGCGCAGTTTGTGATCACTAAAGCTTAGAAATGGCCCAAATGCCCACCAACTAATGAATGGATGAAGATTTCTTTGTAATACAACGGCATACTGCTCTGCCTTACAGAAGGATAAACTCGAAACATTTCTAAATAAATGGGTTGCACCCTAGGACCATACTCTTAAATAAACCCACATGTTTAAATACCTCACTGTTTCTCTGGTATAAAAACGAAAGTGTAAATAAAGACCAAAATGTCCAACAGATATTTGCACATATTTGAAAAAATATTTGAATAAGGAAGAAAAAAAACAGAGGGAGATAAAGGGGGAAAAAAGGACAAGAAAAAAAGAGAGAAACTAGAAGGACCCAGGTTGATGTACCCCACAAAACTCTTAAAGTTGATGAGATAAGGCACTTCCATGAAAAAGAACACCTCAAGAAATTCATGACCATCGAACCAGCACTTCAAAATGTTCTCAAACATCTAGTTATTTCTAGAAAGAAATAGCTTCATACACTCCAACAGAATGAAACTGTCAAGCAAGGCAAGTCATTAAGAAAGTCTTTTTAAACCAGACTTTTAAAAACAGCCGCATTTACCAGAGGGACCTAACACCATCTAGTGGAGGAAGCTGGAGAAATCTGAGGACAGAACTCAGCTTCTGTAGCAAGGTAACAGAGTGAAGGAAAGTATACAAAAATGTAGTAGCAGCATGCTCCCTGTGGCTGATTCATTCATTTATACTGGACTCTAACAGAATTTAAGTGTTACTATTGTAATTGTTTTTAAAACCTAACTCTCAATAGAAAAAAAAAATATGACCTTAAAAAAATTAAATACTTTGAAATAAAAAATAAAAAAAATAAAACCTAACTCCCTATTAATCATTAATAGATTTGCCAGGAATCTTCCAGCCATATAGAACATTTCCAGTGAGGTTTCCATTGCTATTAAGACTACCTACAGGGAAGATAACCTGCTATGTTAAATTAGGCACCACTAAATAAGAACGACCTGTTACCACAGTTCTTCTACTCTACCTAGTAGCCAGAGTTACAGGGCCTTGATTTTCAATGTGTGTAAACAACAGAAAGTCGCAAGCTTCTGACAACCCTTTGAAGTAGATGAGTTAAGCGGCTGCACACAGGATGCATTCAGATGGAAAGTGTCAAGGGAAGAGCAGCCAGCTGGGGAATAACGGGAGGAATCTAGACGGGGTATGTCAAGGCCTCAACGGCACAGAAGCAAAGAATCGCCTGAGAGCGGGGAAAGAGTGTCCACCCGGCTTAGACACGGCTGCAACACACACGCAGGACGGCTCTCAGCTGCAGCAAGGCCTTCAACACTGGTCATTCCTCTGCACACCCTTATTAGTTTAAGCCCCTCCTGAAATGCTTACAAATATTCACTTCTTTTGTCTTCCTCCACTACAGGGCAAGCTTCTTCAGGAGCTTTAATTGGTAACAATCTAACTGAATAAATGGATGTGTGAGGTCACTTACTCAACTGCACTATTGCGGTGAGGGTAACTAAAAACAGATTTTTCCCTTCTATTTTTAAAAGTCTTTTTGTGGGGAACTTAAGAGAAATTTTATGTAATTCATACATATTACTAAGTCAAATGTGATGGTTACATCCTGATGACAATTTTAGCTGAAGGATGAAAAAGTAATTTTCTGGAATGACTCATCCTTCCATATGTTATCTTTGGATAAAAAGATCAATGCATTTATCACTATTTCCTCTCAATCTCAAGATTAAATTACAAATCACACACTAATGATTAAGACTCATCTTGAAGATAAATATAGTATCACAAAAATGGAAATGAGGACTGGCTGGGGATATAGCTCAATGGCACAGTGTTGGCCTGGCTGGTGCAAGGTCCAGAGTTCAATTCCCAGCACCCAAACAAACAAACATGGAAAAGAACATAGAGCTTATAAAAACAAATTTCTAATAGTTTGACTATATAGTAACACCACTAGTACAGCACATTCAAAGTAAATATTATGCAAGACAAATTGTACCCCTAAATTATTAAAAAAAATTTTTTTTAATGTATTTGGTACAGGATCTCACTACATAGCTGGGACTCATAGTGATTAGCCTGTTTTCAACCTCCCCAGCACTGGGATTACAGGCGTGCACCACCATGCCCAGGTCCCAGTGGCAGACTCAGCGCGTCTGGGGGTTGGGCCAGCGCAGTAAGTGATGCCAGGGATCAAATCCTGGTCCCTGTGCGTAACTAAGCAGGCGCTTAGTCCGTTGAGCTATCTCACCAGCCCTGTACTCTTTAAATTCTAAAAACCCTCAGTAGATTTTTTTATTTTCCTAGTTCCCTAACTTTAGAATGCCAGAAGTATTTTTCCTTTCAAGGCATAATCTAAATCCTTATTGACTCAAATTCTAAGATAGTGAACTTCATTAGGACAAATCATATGAAGTACAACCCTCAACATTCCCACCTACTGAGGCTTTCATAGGTACACAAGGACGCAACTAGAGGCTATATTCCTAAGTAAAATAAATCAGATCCACATGTGATCATGTTCTCTCATTAGTGGAAAAACCTGAAGGAATAAAATCTGAACGGTACAATAGATACAGTAAAAGGAAAAGAAATTGAACATAAGGAATAAACAACTGAGATGAAGGAAAAGAGAAAAGATAGGAAAAAAGGGGGAAAATCATGTAAGAAAAAAATGTATATGTGATAGCTAAGATGATTGTACTATTGATTTCTACCAGTTTTTTTTTTTTCAAAGATTTAATTATTTTTTTTCTACAGTTTTATTGATAAAGCTACCAGTTTTTTGAAGGTAGCAGTTAATGTTTAAATTTTTACTTTGACCAATGTTATATGCTAATATCTATAATCTAAGCAACTACATTGAAGACAGCAATGTGTAAAATATTAACCAATGTTGAATACCTTTCATCTTGTTTTTTAAATGTGGATCATTTCTAATGTCTTATCTATTATATTTATACTGTCTTTAAAATAAATTAAAAAATAAAAAATAGAAAGGACAAGGAAAAGAATTAAGGCTTAATGAAGGGAAAAATTAATACTTAATTGATCAACTGACATGCCTATGTCTGGAAATCGGACAAATTTGATGATAACCATATATAACAACCATTATTAATTTTCTATTCTTGTTTTGAAATTCTGTACCATTTTTACTGTTTCATGTTGCTTTTCTATCTTTCTTCCTATTTTTTTTTCCTGCTTTAAAATAAAAATTTACAAAAGCAATATTCCCAGCTACCAGAAACATACCTGAATTGAGGAAGAACTGAGGGGAATCTCCATGAATGCCCACCGTGCCTGGCCCCAAGGAGTTCGACAAGGTATTCACAAAGGAAAACACTCCACTCATGATTCCAAAGCCCAAACCAGAAACTAAAGAGAAAGAAAACACCGTTAAACTCTTTTCCTGCTTTTTCTCTCCAAATCAAATTCCTTAAGGGCCAAGAATGCTATTTTGCTGAAGGGGTTTGAACAGATGGTGCTACTGAGGGGGGAGACAACTGATTCTGGAAAGGTATATGCCTGGCTAAGTGAGGAACGAGGAGAAGGAAGAGGAAAAGGAGACGAACGCTGCAGTGCAGCAGAGAAACTGAAAAGGGGAACACAAGATCTAGAAAAGCTCAGAAGAAACAGATGAGTCAGCAGTGGATACAACAGTGAAGCTGTGGCTTGTGTTACGGTCGAACAGCATCTACAGAGTTAAGTGTGTTGGCTGAGAATTGAACCTGATCTTGGGGGAATAACAGTGCATCTTAAGGTCCAATTCCTGGGCCAGAGTAACGTGACTCTACTGAGGGACCTCACCCCAAGACTTAAGTCTAATTCTGAAAGCATAGCAGTCAGAGGTAATAACTTTATTAATATGAATGAAAAGCCTTCCTGCTACAGTTGACGTCAGAGTAAACATAAAGTAAGCAACAGTTACATTGTTTCAAAACTGTTAACTACAGTGTCAAAAATCTAACTTTCTAACATGGTTAATATTTAATGGGCATACAGATAAGGGTCACCAACAATCACTTGCTTTTACATAAGGAACCAGGAAAAAAAAAATACTGATAGACAGGCCAAAGCAGTAATAAAATGGTGCTTGGCATCTATAAAGACATAGCTGGGTGTGGTGGCGCACACCTGTAATCCCAGCACTGAGGCTGAGGAAGGAGGATCACTGCAAGTTCAAGACCAGCCTGGGCTACACAGTGAGTTCAAGGTTGGCCAGAACTGCATAGCAAGACCCTGTCTAGTGAGACCCTGTCTCAAAAAGACCAAAAAAAAAGATATAAAACATGCAAATGGCTTTTCTGTCGTTTGATTTTCTTTCTCTTAACGACACCATGTGGTTCTAACTTACCATAGGCCAGCAATCGCATAGAGGGCGCTGCCTCATCTGGGCTTATGCTCTTCAAGCCCTCACTGGCTTTCCTGAAATTAAACCATACATTGTAAGAAAGAAGAAGAAAAAGGAAGAAGTGTATATAAAAAAGTACATGCGACACCTCAAATCCAGAAGGTATTGCGGTTTCTGGTCAGGTCATACTGCTCTAGACCTCACTTGAGCAAAACCCAACACATTTGCAAGAAAGTCAACTGAGATTTCCAACTAACTTGCTGCTTTTTCATCTGACAACCACAAAAAAGAAATATACAGAATATACAAGAAGCCAGCAGGGATTTAGCTGCACAACAAAAACAGCGACACTCCGTTCTGGGGGTCAATGTTTATCTCAATATCCTGTGACATTTAGCCCTCTGAATGGTCTTCTCTTCCCAGAATACTATGTCTTCATGCCTCCAGGACTACGCTCACGCTGCCACCCGCCCTTGTGGCTTGTACTCCGCAGAACTAAAGCTGCTCTCAGCCTTCACGGTCCAGTCCAGTTTCTTTTTCTTCTTTTGGTACCAGGGACTGAGCCAGGGCCTCCCACACGCCAAGCACACACACTACCAGTGAGCCACACCCTGGTCTCTAGGCAGCGGTCTCTTAAAGCTGCTTCTTCCAATGGCTAGTAATCATTAATCCCTCCTTACTCTTAAATCCTGGAAAGGGTCTTGCGTGGGTACCTAATCATGTGGTCTTCTGCTGTGAAAACAGTTTACATATTTATTTCCAATGCCTATTGGGCTTGGGGAGAAAAATACTCTCCTATATTCTCGTACTCTAATCCTCTTATTAAAGTCTCTGAAATAAAACACTATTATCAGAACAAGAGATAAATGAATACTTGGACAAAAGGATAAAATATTGCTTAACAAGGAGAGATCTTCAGCGTGACCATATCTCGACCACTGTGAGAGCCAAGTTACAACCTCACTCCGAGGCGTCCTCACCCAGGCGGACATGACAGAATCACTAGGCGTGGCTGGTCCCTTCTGCTACTCTCACTATTACTAACCTGCTGGCTAGATTCTCTGCAACAGGAAAACTCCTGTCCTGATAAATATTTAAATTATATTTACTATAAAGGATGTTTATTAAAATAATAAGGGAATCAAAACCCGTCAGAGGGATGGGAAGATGCTCAGTAGAATAAACGCTTGCCTGGCAAGCGCACAGCCTGAGTTCAATACCCAGTTTTGCCAATAACGACAACATAAAACATTTTATTTATTTATTTTGGCAGAACCAGGGATTGAACTCAGGCCCTACTGAGCTATCTCCCCGGCCCCCTTAAAAAAAGAAAATGTTTTTTTAAAAAATCTTCAGAATGATTTATCAGTGAACACTGAAACATAAAGGAGTTAGGTTAACTCTAAAAAGAGGTAATTAAATTAACCAGAACACACTTATTTTTCTGGGTACTGTGTTCATTAAAATTTCAAGGTATACAGAGACTCATTATAGTTCAACTGTTCTTCACACAAACACAAATACCACTAATTTCATTAAGGCAATGCTGAATTTAACCAAATAATTTAACCAAATTTAACCGCTATTTCGCGGTCCAACTTTTGCAGACTCACTGTTCTACAGATTTTCAAAAAATATTAATCTAAGGTACTTATCGCAGATTTTCACTATTTTGCAGTACCTCACAGTATATGTATGTTGTTAAAATTATTTAGGTTTACAAGTTTAGAAAATGGTTAAGAACACTGGAAGTAGGGCCAGGGAGATGGCTCAGTAGAATAAGTGCTTCGCTGG